AGTTACTAAGTATTATAGCTATATATTAGGTATTATAACTAAGTTAAGTTACTAAGTATTATAGCTATATACTAGGTATTATAACTAAGTTAATATATTTCGGTTATGACTACCATTGTAACTCACCTGTATATGATAATGGCAAGCCCTGAGATGACGAGGCTTCCGCAGACGCAAGCGATGCTGGCCACGATGGCGTAGTTATTATCTAGAAATCAAAGAAATCGTTTGATATCATCAGATGACAAATTCATTGTCAACTAATTGTCGTTATTAACCGCTGATATCATGACGTCAGAGGGAGAGCTAGAGGTGGTGAAGGAGGAGAAGGCGATGAAGGAGGAGGTGGAGGTGGAGAAGGAGGAGAAGGCGATGAAGGAGGAGGTGGAGGTGGAGAAGGAGGAGAAGGCGATGAAGGAGGAGGTGGAGGTCAATACCAAGCCAACAAACCAACAAACAAACAAAATAAGTGCAACAGTTTTTTATAGTACCATATTTATTATTATCATAATAACATGTTCTGCTAATATGTTGTCAATCAAGATGTAATAAGAAATAATAATCATGAATGACTTAAATATAAAACATAATTCTTCTTTAATTAAGTCACATTCATTATTGAAGGTGTTACTTGATTACATGAAAATATTTAAAAAAAATTGACCCCGTCTCAGATTGTCCCTACTCTTGTGGGGTTACATTATTGTATCTAGACTGCCATGCTGGTGAATGTCATTCCCAAACTGCATGCAGCGCCCCCTTCGTACAACTCAGGATCACTTTCTCTCTATCATCTCTGATATAAATCATGAACAAATAAGCTAGAGTAGATAATAGTCATAATAAAAATATGCACTAATACTAGGAAGCAGCTATGGGGAATATGGTCACACCATAGAAAGTTTCTAGCGATAAAATTTCCCCCGTGGCGGATGTAGCGTGCCGTAAGCTCCCGACCCGTATGTTGACGCTCACTCGACACTAAACCAGAGCATATAAACCCACGTTGATTGATAATAAAAATATGCACTAATACTAGGAAGCAGCTATGGGGAATATGGTCACACCATAGAAAGTTTCTAGCGATACTTGACACTAGACGTTAGTTTTTGTGCTCTGAGTAGCATTTAAACCATAGTTTTTTTAAACGCCCATATCGTTACTTTCGTTAATGTGGGTGTACACTTTTAAAAATTAACAGAGGTCTTCTTGAGCATGTCTAATAATTTCTAGCAAGAAATCTGTCATTTATTGTCAGAAAGGCGGGACAAAACGTCTTTTAACCGAGGGTACTCACCTTATTTTGACTGTTTCATGATTTCAACGCTCGCGTATTTCACGCGATTTCACTTACAATCCGCCTGCTACGGCTCTCACATTTCTCTTCGTATTTCCGCGCGTCATTTACGCACTTATATTACGTGGTGTCCGCAGTCAATTACCTCAACAAATGTTGATATTGGGCCTCCATCATACACTTCTATTATTACAATACTATATAGGTGACCGTGAACCCCCGTTGAGAAGGAGGAGAAGGCGATGAAGGAGGAGGTGGAGGTGGAGAAGGAGGAGAAGGCGATGAAGGAGAAGGATGATCAGCAGCAGCGGGAATAGGAGGAGGCGCACTAAGAGCAGGAGGAGGAGGAGGAGGAGGAGGAGGAGGAGGAGGAGAAGGAGGAGGAGGTAGAGGGGAAGAAGGAGGAAGAGGTGGAGGAGAAGAAGGAGGAGGTGGAGGGGATGAGGAATTTCAGCAGCAGCAGGAAGAAGATAAGGAGAAGTAAAAGGAGCAGGAGGAGGGGGAGGAGGGGAGGAGGTAAAGAGGGGGAGGGAGGAGGCGGAGGAGGAGGTGAAGAGGGGTGAGGATGAGGAGAAGGAAGTGTATGGGGAGAAGGCAGAGGCGGGGGAAGCAGAAGAGTGAGAGTAAGTCAATGAGAGCAGTTGAGTCTTATATGACAACAAACGTAAACAAATCATATTCGTTTGTATATAGCTAACCTAGCTCTGGAAAACCTCAGAGCAAATATTAGGACGTATCTCACAACATGTTATGACGCCTCGCCCACGAAACCAGCTTATAATCACGATTTTCCTACTCATGTATGCATTTCCAATGTCTTAGCTGGACATAATGTTAGAATAATGGACCATGTTGATCAGTAGCACGTTGTGAAACAGATTCTCCATTGTAAAACTGGGTTTACACTATCAACTTTTTGTTGGAAAATCGACGGGCTGATAAATTTTTCAATTATTCGACCGAAAATTGGCAGTGTGAACGTAGAAGTCTCGCGCGCAACTAGTTAATATCAACTGGTTGCGAAATTGAAACATTGAACGTTCTATTTTCGCAACTTTTTGTCATCGAAGTGATGAGCAGCAATGAGAGAACAGCAATCAGGGAGTGTGTCCCTCGATCCGCCCAGGGGAAGAGCACGTTTTTGCTATCGGCGCCACACTGGCGCGAATTAAATTGCCTACGTCACGAATTTTTTATGGTGTATATTTGTAAAATAAAAATTCCATTTTTTACATTAAAAGTAAGTACTAACGGGACTAAATGTATCCTCAAATTCTTACCTGATTAGATTGCTTCTCAACTAGTTAATAATCCAAAAAACCTGGACGATTTGATATATTATGATCCTGACATTAATTGCTTGCTATGGGCTATGTATGAGTCACGCGTGTATGTTTACATCGAACAATATAGTAAAATAGAAAGTATAATGCAAGAATTTAACCATAAAAAGTGAACAGAATTACTTACATTTTGTGAAAAAGTGGACATGATTTTTTTACTTTTACTATTTACGGTGACGTAATCACTTTAGTACGTGCAAAATGCGTATCCAGGTTGCCCCGCGCGCACACTACCGGTCAAAAGTTGAAACGTTTGCCGACTCGTGGTCGATAACGTAAAATCTAATCGAGATTCGATAAACGAACATCTGATAGAGAGGTTGATGGAACGTTAAATAAAACTTATAATCTCGTCGCTTTTTCCATAGTGTAAACCCAGCTAAACACGCGGTATTTGTTATCGATCATTCGCCCACCTCTGGGGCGTTGCTCTATGCTCCGGCTGACAGAACGTGTGCGTGCGGCAATAAACCCTAAGTCTGCGTGCAGAATTATGTGCAGTAAGTAGTACACCGGCTCGACTCTTTGTTGTCGCAGTTAGATGTCGCACTGCCGTCCGACACTACAATCGCGTTTAATCAATCTAATAGACCTATTCCTAGAGCGGCAAAGGCCATCACTGCATGCCAGTTCTCAGACAGTAATCGCGTGGCGCGTGGTTGGATCAGAGTTGCAGCGGCTGCTTTGCATCGATTAGTTCGGTCTGGTGGTGACAAGCTCGGGAAAGTCATCAATCTCGCCGTAGTTGTGCGCCGGCAGCAGCAGCAGCATCCGGGAACGATGAAGACTAATAACGATCATGCTAATCAGTGTACTGCGCTTCATCATGTTAAACGCATCGCCGACAATCTCGAATAAATGCGCGCATTAAACGCGTGTATGTGCAATTAAGAAGATTGAGGCCGTCATCGACGGCACAGTAACACCGCATCGCTAGCAGGAAAGCCGCTGTAAAGAAAGCGGATGCGGCGCATCAGTGGATGCAACAGCTGATTTAATACCGTGCAACGAGGTAATCCGTGTGACGAACGTCTCCTATATGTTCTAACGGCTAGGAATTACCTACTGATTAATGTGATGGTAAATGCCTGCAATTTGCAAATTACCGAGAAGGTGACTTACAGCGGTTATGGACGCAGCTATAGTCAATGTGTTCTTAGCCGTATGCTCACGATAGCACCGTTATTACTTCACTTGTAATACATATATTTCATCACATATGTTGTTATCATTCTCCCGGTATGGTGTATAACAATAGCGTAAAACAAGCAATTATATTAACCGGATTAGATTAGATATTATCTAATCTAGTCTGATCTAATCTATTTTAATTTAATAAAATCTAATCTTATCTCATCTTACCTAATTTTTCAAGTGAGATGTAATCTAGACGGAATCTAATCCAACCTAATCTAATCGAATATTTTACTTTAACTACCAAAACTTCTACTCTAATTCTACCTATAGAGCTGTGACTAAGACTGACCCACAGAACTAGAACCCATTTCGTATCTGTTACTATGGACTCTAGCTCCTCTACATCATCGCTGCGACTAGTGCCGGACTAGCCGCGTGGACCGTAGACTAAGGATCGGTAGCTGGCCCCAATTAATAGGGAAGGTTGCGGATAGTTACTGTTCATGGATTCGTTGTCAGAAACAAAAATGAGAACAGAATCATGTATCAGGGTCTCAGTTATGACTATCATGAGTCAAATAATGGTATAACTTTTGCATGGCACATCACATCAAACGTGAGGGGATTTTAGAATTAACCACGATTATTCAATTATTTATAATTTAATCCATAATTCCTTATGATGTTTTTGATATAAAGGCTTCAAATAATTTTGTTTAAAGTGCACATGGACACAAAATGTGCAGTGAAGGTTTTAAAGGAAACAGACATTTTCCGTAATTGCTATTATTAAGCCTAGTCATGTTCTTAATTTTAGTAATTCGAGTTTCTGGTTTATTTGCTTTATATAATGATTTGTAGATAGGTTATCGGCTAGGTAAAATGAAGTTAATATACTGGCAGAAAATCTGCACAGTATACATTTATTTTTACGTTTTTTTAAATGATATTCGCAACAATTCTACTATCTAGGCAATGCAATTTACAGAAAATGAGGACAATTCTAACGTGGATATTGTAATGCGTAGCTCAATTGCGTTGAAAACAATATTCTTTGCACGGACAGGGGTTGAGTGCAAAGCGTACGTTTTAGAACGTTTCGATAAAATAGCTAATGAGGGTAATTGTCACAGTATCTCGGCCCATGCCTAGCTTCCAGCGAGCTCGGCCTTGCGACTACTAGCCATATATACCAGTGTTGATAGTTTGTGTTATTAGAATATTTACGTACAATAACCCTCTGTCGTAATCAGAAGACGGTGAGGTAAAAGGTTTATTCCAAACTCATAGACATATACCCGTGTATATACAATAACTCTGAGGCTACAAAAGCAGTGCGTTTCTAGAAGAAACGTTAAATTGATTCCCGTCATGTTTAATTAAAAATGCATTGCTACTCAAATGTTTATGGCTAAGTAATAATACAAACACAATTATGAACGTTTTCTCTAAACACGGGAAATACGGGAAATATTAAAGACAAGCTGTTATACCACGGCGCTGATCAAGTACTATAGAAAAGCACTGCGCGGCATTTGACTGTGAGGATGATCATGAGAGTAGGCGCATGCATTCTTTGTACAACCGACCTGACGCCGGACAATGCGGCATATTTTGCTACGCGGGGCAACGCGTAATTAACATAATTAACGCGTAATTAACGGGGTAAATCGCATACAGCTCTCCGTAAACACGTTAGTAGATGCGGAGTGCCTTACTTACTGTGTTCATGCTCGCAGTGTTCATTCTCCCAGCCGCAGCGCGGTTCTCCGGTTGGTCGATCGGTCCGTCCAGACGGCCACGTGATGCTGACGTCATCCCGGAAGTCAATCTTCTCATCACTGGAATAAGAGCGGAATCTTTTACTTCCGTCACATTCACCCACCTACCCGTCATGAACAACTGCCGCATTGCTATTAAATTCTGGCGTGTCTGTATTTCATTTCTGTGGAACACAAGCAAGATAGACAAACGTGTTGTTGCGTTTGGATATGACGTGACACTAATGTAGTATCGCAATCTGTGATCTATATATAAATAAATTAATATATATATATCAAGAGTGCATAAAAGAGTGTCTATTATGCACTCTTGATATATATATATATATATAAACAAAGTCAAAGAATAGATTAAGGGTGCTTAAAATTTAATTAACAAGCATTCGAGATGTACATCTCTTCATCAGGCAATTCAGCAGACATTTGAGGCTATATATATATATATATATATAGCCATATATTTATACGCGGCCAGTATTGCCAAGACTTAGCTCCACTACCTGCTTAAGAACGTCCCGATCTCCACCTGTGAACCGTTCCTGATATTGTACAAAACGTAACTTGGCTTCTTGTCCCCGTAGGAATTCATCCTAACGGGATCAGTTGTATCTGAAAAAAAAAATCATTCATTAATAATCATTTATATTTAATTTCGATTATGTACTCATATATCTAAGACTTACCCTTAGTTGAGGTGTCTTATAGATATTGTAGTCACGACTATAATCATTCCCTTTCGTCTAGTTCCTATTACCTATAGTTAGTGTTGGACAGGTGGCAGCGAGGTTTCATAGATTAATAATACTAACTCTGGTAAAAAAAATCTCGTTACCTAATTATTGTTAAAAAATATACACGTTTAGTGGGTGTTTAGCAGCATAGAAATCAAACTCTATTTGGTAAGGGGTAAAATACTCGGACTTGCGCGCACGCTCATACGGACGCAGACAAGCACACGCTCACGCATGCGCGCGTGCACAGCAACGTGCGCATTAATGTGACATTTATAATATATACTTACCCCAGAACGATGTTGCGAACAATTCGGGGATAAGCGCTGCTGTTACATTATCAATCGCTACCCCCCGGGCGAGCGTGGCGTTTAACGCATGCGCGTATAGAAGAATCGCCTGGCGTAGATAGGACGCAAACACGTCAACCTGTCCGTGGATGAATAAATAACACACGCACTCAATTATCACATTCTCGGGGTAGATTCTCCTATGGGCTCACGATGGGCGTTCGAAACACCTGGTTATATTACGAGCAATTAATATTAATGGGGCAGACATATATATATATATATATATATATATATATATATATATATACATGTATTCACACATATATGTCAAGATTTAGACGAATTGTGGGTTTTGTGGTAAAGGCACCAAAATTGGCATGATTGAAGTTATTGATGTTTTCATGCCAAATAATTACAAAGATAGGGCAATTAATTAATAGATATTTACTATTCAGGTGGCGGCCATCATGAATTTTAGCATTAACCCGTGCCCTATATACATGCGTTTTTTCACTGAAATAATTACACCATTGGATTTTGCGAGTCAAAAAACATATAAAAAGACACTATAGTCGTGTTTTTGTGTCAATTATTTACGAAGATGGGAGAATCGCACGGCGGCCATTTTGGATTTTCCATTGTTACGACCGTTACGGAAAAAATTCAGCTTGACACTATATCTAAAATCATTTAGTATACCCTTAACTTCATTCATGCCAATTTTGGTGCTTTTACTACAAAACCCACAATTTTTTTCACATATCTGCCCCACTATATAATATGTAGGCCTATTATCAGCTCTTGATTATATCGATGCCTTTGTGGACGTTTACTGTGTTTAGCAAAATCCAAACATATGCAGCGAACGTAAAATAAAAGCGTAAAGAACTAATCAAATAGTTACGCGTTTAAAGTCGATGTGCCGTTCTTGATGGCAAGTTAATAAGTTTAATCGGTTTAATATATGTCATAATAAGTTAAAGTTAATTTTATAGGTTAAGTTATTTATAAGTTAAGTTTTAATAAGTTATTAATACGTTTGTCGAATTAGATGGTGGTCACATTTTATTTTATAACCTACGCGGCGGTGCGCTATATTTAGCTTTCCCCCTGGCGGTGTACGCGTGGCGGTAATGCGCGTACGTTGCTACACTACATGTCGCGGCAAGATCATATTACGACAACAGAATCGTGGTTATAATCCCACAACGCAGTATTTGCCGATCGGCAACTATCTCTATACGGTCTAGATTTTACTGACCCGTTTCGCAATATACTGTCGTCGGATAGCTGTTCTTAAACCATCGCTAGAGAAATTGTTTCATATTTGCTATTGCGATGCGTTTATTGTGAAAACCGTGCAATTTCGGACCCTCGTGACTCATAGATTACTAGCTTATATCGTAAAATAATCTTTCTTTCTCTCTCAGCATTGCACTTTCTGCGTAACTTCTCAGTGCTTAATGAACCAAGAAAATCCCGCATGATAATAACTAAAAAATAAAGAGCTGGGAGACACGTAATCTTAATGGACAGTAGAAAAGCAATGGCTTAAATTGAGTATGTCACCGTTAATAGTACGCTAGAAAAAACATTCGTTTACAAAATATAAACTATGGAAGTAAGTGAAATACAGTTTTTGCGTACTCTTTGCGTCTAAAGTCTATACACTCTACTTCTTATTTTTTACATTCCATTCGAGGTAACGAAAGATTCACCCATTTCATATCTTACCCTTCAATTGAAAACGCCCTTCTTTAGATTCTTGGCTAGGTTAAACAATAATTTTTACCAGGTAAAGATTTTGGGATATAGTTAGCATCATTGCTATATACTCGCTTAATATGCACAAAACATTTATTCCTTTTTACAAATTTGATTTTCCTAATATGAGACAAAGTCAATCTAAGACTTTCTAAAAGCTATCTAACGCGATCAAAGTCTATCTAAGGCTCTAATACGTTTCGTCTTACCCTCTCCCATGGCTCCATTGGCATGTTAAACGGTTCTTTGGCCATAGCGTTTCGGACGCCATCTTGAAAATCTGCGTAGCCGTTAATGTTGGGTTGCCCCTGCGCAACGATGTTGATGATTCCTGGTGTCAAACATAAAACTGTGAGCGTAAGAACGATTTTCTTATCCGGGGGAACACCAAGCGAATAAATTTAAATGCTGTTAACTTCGACAGAAATTATAAAGAAGAAAACAGGGAAGAATTTTCGTCGTTTATGCGGTGGTCTGCTCGCGCGGTAACTCGAAACAAACTATTGAGAGAGATGAGCGTAACGTGTGGTTAGGTTTTCTCGGCGAATTATCGCGTTAGAGCTAGTCGGTACTCTCTCAGTTCACGTTTCAAATAATTTTTTCTCTCTACTTAACGCACACTGACATGCGCCGATTATTACTGCTCTGTTAACTGCCTATTCTCGGCTCTTCCTTCTAGTGCGAAAAAAATGCAAATCGCGGATAGATTACAATGAAACACAGACATTAATCATTTAAATCTTTGGATCTCCTGTACAAGTCGCGTGGTGCTTACCTTCGTAAAGGTTTATGTTCGTCGTCCTTTCGACTGTTAGGTTCAACGTTTGTGCGTAAGGTTTGAGAAACATATCTATAGCCAGTACTGCGTACTCGTCGTCTAAGTTTCCCCCGTAGAGCTGCATGAACGTAGTGACCTCATCCAAATGAGCGTAGAATAGGATTACTGAAAGAGAAGACGCCATTTTAAATGGGTTGAAAGTAACGGTGAGCTAGGGGTACGTTTAAGGTCGTTTATTAGGTCACATAAAGAAGAACGAAAAAAGAAAGAAGGGGGAGAATTGGAAAGAATGGGGAAGAGAGAATTTGTGGCAACGAGATGTCAGTGTCACCTGATTTAAGAACTTAAACCAATCATATTTTAGAAGGTCAAAGGTTGGTCACACGGGGGTAACTCGGCAAAACCCATGTGTATTAACAGAGTCTAAATGAAGTGGTCTGCGCTCTAAATACATAAATATCTCAATACCATATAATTATACGTTTCCGACTGGCATGGCTATAATTATCTTAATAATATCAAGAGCAGATAAAGAAGGAGAGCGTACAAGGGTAAAATGCTGAAACCATGCTGCAGTATTAGTCGAATTAATAAACTTTTCCCGTTTTATTTTGACGATCCTTTTGACGGTATTTTCGCCGAAAACCGACTCGAGATCAGTGTGTACTGCGTCCCTCACTCGAAGTGTTATTACTTCGGGAAACCTCGCGTGTTTCCGTCAATGATTGACAAATGGAATGAATGACGTCTGTTATTGATTGCCATAGTGATGACCCCCACCTGTGCCCACCTCACGCCCACCTCACGCTGGATGTATAGTAAACTCTGGTAGTATTACGTGAGTCAGTGCCACTATAGCGCTACACAGCGGCGACCGGAAGCAACACACTGGAAACACTTCGAGTGAGGGACGCAGTACACACTGATCTCGAGTCGGTTTTCGGCGAAAATACCAGATTTTCACCGCTCATTATCTCAGCGTAGGGGCATCGTAGGGACATGCGGTTTGTTTTATATGAACAAGGTAAGACAGCTAATCAATACTGCAAAGGATCGTCAAAATAAAACGGGAAAAGTTTATTAATTCGACTAATACTGCAGCATGGTTTCAGCATTTTACCCTTGTACGCTCTCCTTCTTTATACGCTCTTGATAATATCAACGATCATATCAACAACACGCACTTCCTGTTGAGGCAGTTTACTCCGCTTAACATGTGAATACCTTATATGTGTGCCATATCTGTGTGCCATATCTGTGTGCCATATCTGTGATACATTATGATGCATTATTAAATATTAATTATTGATATTCAAGCAATGCTAATTAATAACGGACGCTGCTGCTGATATGGTGCGCGAGGTCAATTGATGTATACCTACAAATATGAGTACAGAACCTACTAATATAAGTAGAACCTAATAATATCAAGAGCGTATTAAGAATAAACATTTCTGATATAATTATACGCTCCTGGTAATATGCGTAGAGTTGAGGATTCCGCGAGGTTCCTAATTTTGGTTCATCGATTAAGGATCTATAGCCTCTACGGCAACGTGTTGTGGCGAGAGCTAATTATACCTTATTGTTAGCTCTTAATTATGTCAAGAGCTAATTAGTACTTATTTATTAGCTCTTGATTATATATATACATAATTCTGCGATAGATGATTGGATGAAATGATGCAGGGTTGCGGATTATTCAATTTGTCGCTCACCACCTGTGAATCGAAAAGGTATTCGCGCTGTTACACGACAAAGGTCCTGTGGATTTACGGGCTGATGGTGGTTTTATGCTGCTGGGTGCTTGAATGAGCGCTAACGATGCAGGTGCGAAGAAGCAACAATCGACTCTGCGCGTGTACAGGAGGTCGGGATTTACGTTCACTTTACTGCGTATATAGACGCTCATTAATGCTCGAAGTAATTTGACGAAAGAACTGCGAACGACAGAATAGGCGCAGCCGCTTGAAATCACTTCGCGTACGTTTATCGCGCGGGCGTTTTAGACTGCGCTGAAGTAGATGCGATTAATGAAACCTGTACGAGTTACGCGACGAGGGAATCAGTCTATTATATAACGCTGGGATTGAACAGCGCGTAAGCAGTCGAATACAGAAGCAGTGTCGATTTGCGCGTCCGTTGTATTTGACTTTCCTTCGCGCTTTATCTGAACAGAAGAGATTCAACGGCAATGGCAATTAGTAAGAATTCGTAGGTAACACAACATGATGATGAATCTGTTCTCAAAAACGTGTATTACATTCCGAATAGCGTCGGAGTATCGCGTAGCAACAATTACTTAGATCGCTAGGAAAATAACGATGTCAAAAGGACCTGCCCACTGGTTCACGACTGGTACTGGACTATAGGTACGCAGGACTAGCTTACCTTATGCGAATCTAAGTAAATGCGATGGCAGCTATTCATCGACTAACTTGTAAGTTCTTCGTGCATTTCGTATTTAATTTCCGGCAAACAGTGCATGTCGCTTAAGTCTGTTTCAATTACCTCCGGCAATAAAAAAAAGCCAAACCAAACTTTAAGATTTGTAAACCTGACGCAGAGCGGTATCGATCAAGAGCAGGATGTGTACAGTGGCAATCAACCTATTGCTAATAATTGCACGGGGAGATAGATGGAGAGATAGTGAAAGAAAGAGAGCTGGGAAAAGGTTCGCGCGCGAGAGCGAGAGGGAGGAAGGATTTACAGGAAGGAGTGTGTCTACACCCATTGACTCGTTCACACGAGACCTCGTATTTATGAAATACGGTATTTGCGAAATACCGAATCTGAGACAAATACGCGGCCGAGCGTTCACACGCTGATTCGCGGCTCCAGAAATACGGTATTTGCGAGCTGCGAGCTGCTTTAGTAACAATCAAGCGAACAATGCGAAATAAACAATGCAATGCGCACCAACTGCCGATAAAATACGTAGACTGGTCCGCGCTCGACAATTCCATTCGCGTTACACTGGAACTGTCGAGCGCGGACCAGTCTATAAAATACGCGGCTTCAGAAATCCGGTATTTAGCGTTCACACGAGGAAATTCGCGGTCCAAGAAATCCGGTATTTCTCAAGCACGGCAAATTATTCGGGGTCTGGGAAGCCGCGTATTTACATCTGGACACTACATACGGATCTGTTTAGATACCGTATTTCTTGGACCGCGCATTTTGTCCCGTGTGAACGCTAAATACCGGATTTCTTGCTACGTGTGAACGCGGCTTATATAGACTCGTTTTGTTCTGTTAGTAACATAAGCCGCAGCTGCAATACAATAGACGTAATGGCTAACAGCCGTATCTTTTTTACTGTTACTGGATAATTGAAAGCCCCGTGGGTTGCAGGCGAGTAAATGATTTCTGTCCGATTATTTTTGCAGACGAAGCTCGTGGTTCTCATTCATAAAAAACTACTCTGGTGCAGTTCACCCGACTAACATCTGCGTCCATGACTGATGTAATCTTTTCCCTTGTTCTCACACGCTCTCTCTCTCTCTCTCTCTCTCTCTCTCTCCCTCCCCCTCTCTCTCTCTCTCTCTCTCTCTCTCTCTCTCTCTCTCTCTCTCTCTCTCTCTCTCTCTCTCTCTCTCTCT